AAGGAAGGAAGGAAGGAAGGAAGGAAGGAAGGAAGGAAGGAAGGAAGGAAGGAAGGAAGGAAGGAAGGAAGGAAATCTCATTACTGGAGACCTGCTTTAATAATGACTGTTCTGCTCACATCCACATGAATGTATTCAACACACCTTTTCATTTATTGAACTGAAATTGAGTGAGGCAAGCTCATGGATTCAGCAAATCATTAAATAATTTTAACCTTCCTTCAATTATTTCTACAATTTCAGAAGTATGTTTTGGAGGCACCGAGATGTTAAGAGTTGGTAAATATTTGCCTTTTACACACAGTAGCTTCATATCAGTTGTCAATTGATATGAAATTGCTAAGGCCAATAACAAACCATAAGGTAATTTTGTGGGCTGAATTATGATTGGTTCTCATTGTATAAACTTGTTATCTGGACCAAAATAAGTTATTATTTTGTTTCTTTTAATATTATATTACATTCTTATTCCAAGTAGATCAGAATGGCAAATATGATAACATCCTTTGTATTTCATTAACTCAGCCATCCTGTGAGGCAGATTAGACTAAAAGAGTATGGGGTTACTCAGTGTCATCTAGTGAACTTAAATGTCTGAATCTTACTCTCCTTGGTCACCAGGGGATCACTAAAGCAGGCTGATTCTGTTAAAAATTTAATTCTCTTAAATAGGTATTCTACAATGAATATTAAGGAAACCAATCCTGACCTACAGTTTGATATAACTAGGAATTTTGCTTAATTTAATAGCTAATTCTTATCTCAATGGCAAATACAGTATGAGTGACTCAAGCAGCTAGGGCTCTACCATACATAATTGTCTAAAATCTGACTGAATACATTTTTTAGTCAAGCATTTGTTAAACCTAATATCAGATTCAAGTACAGCTATACATAATATTGCTTTAATGTTAACATCCAATTGTTCTTTTGGAATTCCAAGTTATAAAAAGGCCATATTGTACTACCCATTCAAACATTCTCAAAATAAGCATTATATTCATAACTATAAAAAGAGGCATTCAGAAGTGATGCCAAGAGAGAATAGTGGAATTTCTGGCCTGCCTTTCTTAGAATTCTGAAAAATAGGCAAACATGTTGACAGAATAAATTATTGTTGGCCTGTTATAGAAATTCAAGAGCTGTTCCTCATTGCTAGTTATTGTATCAATCTAAATACTTTGCTTGATCACTGCACTATTATAATGATATCTAGGTAGATAGGTCATTACAGAAATAACACCATATATAAGTGGCATTTTACCTTACATATCTCACATGTCTTCCTTTTCAACAGTTGGTCACAACTGCCAGTTATCAGTTCTTTACCCCCAGAAATAATCAATAGTTTGTCAATAGCAGTAAATAGCAGCTTTAGAGGGAATTTCTACTTGGGAAATAGTGTGGATGGAAGGACTAGTAACCATTGTTCACCTATGGTTGTAATCTGGAACTTTCATACTACAGCTATTGTTGCTTATAAAACAGAGAGAGGAATATGATTCAATGATAAGCTTGTCAGCCTAATCTTGTTGAATATGTTATATTATTGGGCATTCTGATGTTTACTTTACCAGAGTAATGCCATTTTTTGTATTACATAATTTCAGCAATGAACATTTACCTTTCAAAGCAAAATTTGAACTTGAATTTCATATTGTTTGACTAGAACACTTGAATGCTATAAAAAAGTTACCCAGTGAATTCAGTTCATTTAGATTATTTTTAATCATGCCAGATTTAAATAGCCCTGTTATTTTAATTCATGATAGCACAAAGTACAAGAAGTATGAAACACAGCCATCAAAACTGATTTCCCGAATTGAGTTAAATGCATGGATGA